GCCCACTCCCCACCCGTATTTATTTCCGTTGTCTCTACGCTGTGTCAGCCAACACTTCCCAGGGTGCTGCTGCCACCCGCCCAGCCAGCCACCTGCTCCCTGAGAGCCAGCAGCTGTATATTTGACAAAGTCATTGGTATATTTTTACTTACTGGATTGTCCTTGCACTTTACCTATTATTTTCCAGGGCCGACAGCGAGCTCGGGGCAGCAGGTCTGGCTTGGCTCCCCTTTCCCACGCAAAGTTTGGGGCAGGACTCACCAATTCTTATTTATTTTGTCTCTTGGCTTCCCAGTAGTTGAGGGGAAGGCTGATGTCAGGAGAAGAAGGGGGCTGAGGAGGCAGTGCTGGGGGCCCAGGGCTCAGGGAGAGCGAGGGGAGCATGCGAGGGACAGAGGTGACCTCCTGGCATTGGGCTCACCCGCCCAAGACCCCCGCCCAGCACCGAAGGCCAGCACTGCCCCAAGGCCCAGCCATCCCCTTCTGCAGCCTGGTCCACACCACAGACTCTGTCTGTCCCCCACTGTCTGCCCACCTCCCCACCTTGCCCCTTGGCACCAGCCTGCATATGTGTTCACTTTTATTTAAATAAACTTGTGTGGTAAAAGTTCCACATCTCCCTCAGTTGAGCCACAGCCAGTCTGAGGACTCAGCACCTCCTGTCCTCCCCCTCCGCTCAGCTGGTGGTTGTGCGACCATCACTGTCATCAGAAACCACTACTGACACTGGGCTGACACAGCCCTGTTCTGTGTCACACCCGTGACAGGACTCAGGAAATAGGAGGGGCCCAACCCAAGTTCTCGAGCCATGGCCGTGACGATGGAAGTCTGGAAGGAGGGGACTGGCCGAGAGATGCTGTGTCATCCCCTTTCCCCAGTGGGGCTGCGCGTTGAGGCACCCTGTCAAAGCTCACACCTCACCCCTCACACAGGGATGCTGCTGGGGACAGGGTTCACTGACAGCGAAACCTGGGAAGGCACAAAGAGCAAGCAGCCTTGAGCACGGAAGCCCAAAGGGTGGCAGGGTCCAAGTAGCTCCTTCTGTAGAACAAGTCTTTAATGGGAACAGCCCCACATGCTCAGGGTGGACCTGGCAAAGGGACATGACAGCCAGGGCCCTGAAACTCCTCACGGACCGTGAACGCCTCAGGGTCCCCTAGGCCACCCTTCATTTCCCAGTGAAGGTTCTGAGCCCCACAGGCACCATGACTTGCTCATGGGGATAGAAACCTGTACTAGAATTCAGACCTCTAGACCTCTAGTTCATTGCCCTTCCCAGAAATGACAGAGTGCTCCTCTAGCTACAAGGTCACCCTGACAGTTGTCTCCTTGCCATCCTTAGTGTGGCCGAGATCCACAGGGGCTGTCTTCTATGCCCAGCCCCCGGCCCATCTTCTAGACCACCACTTCTCCAGGGACTCCAGGACAAGCCTTACGTAGCGGTCACGTGCTCATTCCTTACTGCCTCCTTTTGACTTGCAGGGGCCTTAAGTTCCTGGTTTTGCTTTCATTTATCCTGATGATTTTTAATTCCCTTGCTTAATTTTTTTTTTTTTTTTTT